GGTGTCAATGACAATGGTTCTCCTGATAAAGATCTACCTGGTTCCGATCAATCAGATCATTTAAAAGCAGAACCAGAGCATGACAATGACAGAGCTTAATAACAGATGGGAGAATCTCATATAGTTGTTGCAACACTGCTGTAAAAAATATACAAACCGTTTCCCAAACTAATTTATCTGGAAAATGTCTGGTCTTCAACTGATGTGTATGTGCAATTTTTCTTAGTGTGTTTGAAATTCAATCCATGCATTTCAAGCTAGTGAAAAATGCAGCCATTTAAATGAATTCAACATATTGTAAATGACATGGATATTGTTCTCTATACTGTTAGAAGAAGTTTTAATCAATTATGCAAGGCTGGCTAAATCAACACAAGAAAATAGTTCTTAATTTGTTCTCATATGTTAGTTATTAGGTAAGACTTAAAGAGGAATAGTTTGACATTTTAGTGGAAGTACTTGTTTGCTTTCTTTTCAGAGTGAACAGCACAAATTAGCCAAGTTCAGCATAAAGACGAGAAACAGCTAGCCCAACTCTTTCCAGAGTTCAGAGCTACCAACTAGTGCTTGAGCTGCAGGAATGATCCAGCACAACTGTACCTCTGCAGCGGTACCACAGGCTGCAATATTTATTCCTCAGAGCTCAGGCTTTGGTTTTGCTCTTTGTCAGGCGCAATGGCACCAAACTTTGGGAGAAATACTTTCAACATGTACTCAGTAGGCACGACTGCCCTTTAGTGTTAAAATGTGGTTGAAATAATTTTAGTTGTTGTTTGGACATTTAAAAAAAAAACCGTTGAAACAAGATGAATGGCAAATGTTGTAAAAAGGCTGATTAAAAAAATGTTGAAATTTTAACAAGATGTGTCGAATGGATGCTTCGAATACAGCACAAGTAAGACATTGGAGTCATTCAAAATACTTGCATTCATCCTCTTATATTACCTAGGGCCACACTAATTGCAGCCAGCTACATCATGATGTTTTTTTTTTTACTACTTAGCTGTTTGGCTGGTGAGCTGCAGGGTGGCGCAGTTGGTAGCACTGTTGCCTCGCAGCAAGAATGTCGCCGGTTCGCATCCGAATCTTTCTGCGTGGAGTTTGCATGTTCTCCCCGTGCAGCGTGGGTTCTCTCCGGGTTCTCCGGCTTCCTCCCACACAGTCCAAAA